CCCTCTGGAACGAACTACCCCCAGAGATCCGGGTGATCCCGGATCTCCCTTCCTTCCGCCGCGCCCTTAAGACATGGCTATTTCAACTAGCAGGACTGGCCTAAGGGGTAATTTTTAGCGGGGTTTTAAAAATAATTTTAAAATAACAAAGGCCAATCTAATATTTCATTTTAATTATGTTTTTAATGATAGTATTTTGATATTTTTGTATTTGTTTTTATCAGGCTGTTAGCCGCCCTGAGTCCGCAAGGAGAAGGGCGGGGTAAAAATTCAATAAATAAATAAATAAATAAAATAAATAAATAACAGTGTTCTAATATCTCAAGGGTTGCCACAAATAAGAGGGAGTCAAGCCATTCTCCAAAGCATCTGAAGGGCAAGAAGCAATGGATGGAAACTAATCAAGTAGAGAAGCAACCTAGAACTAAGGAGAAATTTCCTGACAATTAGAACAATTAATCAGTGGAACAACTTGCCTCCAGACATTGTGAATGCTCCAACATTGGAAGTTTTTAAGAACTTGGACAACCTGAGCAGGGGGTTGGACTAGAAGACCTCCAAGGTCTCTTCCAACTTCTATTCTATTCTGTTCTGTTCTGTTCTAAATAAATTTCTCTTCGTTTTTCAGATCAGTTACAGTTTTGTTTCCCCGATTCTGAGGGACAAAACTCAGTTTCCTTTCTTCTACCCGATGCTCCCTGCTGAAGGAGTCCAGTATCCAGGGATGGTCGAGCTGCTCCTCCATTTCAGATGGACCTTGGTTGGCCTGATGGCTCCAGACACTGACCAGGGAGAGAGGTTCATGAGGACAATGACTTCCATTCTGGTCAAGAAGGGCATTTGTCCAGTTTTATCTCAAGTGTTTTCCGTAAAAATCACAAACTTGGTGATGACTTTGGAAGCATTTGCCAAGTGGAGACAAGTGAATGTCATTCTCTACGGTGCAGAGATTAGTTCATTCCAGATGGGCATATTCATTACACATGTCATGCTTAAACATCTTAAGGAACCCACCATGGGAAAACTCTGGATCATAGCAGCCTACTGGGATCTCACTTGGGATTTCATGGAAAGTAGTATCTCTACCTTCCAAAACATTTGGGGCTTTTTTTCCTTTCTTGTGCAGACAAATAAAATGGTGGCCTTTGATGCTTTTAAGCAATTTCACTCCTCCATGAAACACTTTGTAGAGAAATCCTTTATGTGTTCCTCCATCAAGGATGTCTTGTCTGTGAAAGTCTGGAGACAGTGCAGAGAAAGAGAAGAACTGGAGCTTCTATCCAAAGAAGAGATCCAACAAATCCTGTCTCTCGACAGCTCTTTCACTTACAACATAATCTTGGCTGTCGGTCTGGCCATGCATTCAGCCTATTTCTCCAGATCCAAAAGGCCAATGAGAAACAATGGTGAGAACCTGGGAGCTCAAAGGCTGAAGGCCTGGCAGGTATTTTAGTGCACAACTCAGTTCCAAACCATAAGAAGGGAGGGTTCTGCATCCAGGTTACCAAAAATGTTTTCTTTTTGTCTGGAGTAAACCAAAGGCTGAAAAGTACAAGAGAAAAGTCAGGACTGGTTCAAAGTCTATGGAAATTTTCAATCTTCCAGATTTATTTTTATTATTATTATTATTATTATTATTATTATTATTATTATTATTATTATTATTATTATTATTATTATTATTATTATTATTATTATTATTATTATTATTATTATTATTATTATTATTATTATTATTAGCATATGGTGGTGTTACAGTAGCCAGGAGACCATAATGCTATTGTAGTTTGGCTTCCAAGGTACCAGCCCTGTTATAGGAAATGCTTGCCTGATTCCCAACCTTCACACCAGAGAGAAAGACAAGCACCTCTTCCTGCAGAATCACCTAAGGCCTCCTCCCTTTCTGGAGCTACCTCGCAAGTGGGCGCCACAACCAGGAAAGTTCAGAGCCATCAGGAATCTGACTGCCTGCACAGAGCACCACTTGTCTCCCACTGACGTGGTACCTATTCATCTACTGGCATAGAACATCCTTTTGAACTGGTGGGCAGAAGCTGAGGCGAGCGATGGGAGCTGATCCTGCCACGCAGTGCCTGGACTTGAACTGTTGGAGCTGAGATCATCTCCAGCGTCATTAAGATACTGAACCCTCACGCCTCTCGTTCATCCAAGTCTTGGTTGTTCCCAAGATGCTTTTCAAAGGGCATTGAAGAACTGAAGACTCTGTAAAAAAAAGTGCAGAGAAGAGCAACAAAGATGATTAGGGGACTGGAGGCTAAAACATATGAAGAACGGTTGCTGGAATTGGGTATGTCTAGTTTAATGAAGAGAAGGACTAGGGTTTACATCAGTGGTGGGATTCAAATACGTGAACAACCGGTTCTCTGTGTGGATGCCACTTCCGGAAGTCCATTCTGGGCCTGGGCAACAAAAAAATTAGCTACCGGTTTTGCCAAAGTGGTGCGAACCGGCTGAATCCCACCATTGGGTTACATGATAGCAGTGTTCCAATATCTCAGGGGCTACCAAAAAGAAAAGGGAGTCAAGGTATTCTCCAAAGTACCTGAAGGCAGTACAAGAAGAAATGGATGAACACTAAGCAGGGAGAAAAGCAACCTAGAATTAAGAAGACATTTCCTGACAGTTAGAACAATTAACCAATGGAACAACTTGCCTCCAGAAGTGGTGAATGCTCCATCACTGGAAGTTTTTAAGAGGAGACTGGACAACCATTTGTCTGAAATGGTATAGGGTTTCCTGCCTGAGCTGGGGGTTGGGCTGGAAGACTTCCAAGATCCCTTCCAACTCTGTTATTCTATTCTATTCTATTCTATTCTATTCCATTCCATTCCATTCCATTCCATTCCATTCCATTCCATTCTATTCTATTCTATTCTATTCTGTTCTGTTCCGTTCCGTTCCGTTCCGTTTCGTTTCGTTTCGTTTCGTTCCGTTCCGTTCCGTTCTGTTCTGTTCTATTCTATTCTATTCTATTCTATTCTATTCTATTCTATTCCATTCCATTCTTGGATGAGAAGCAAAATATTTTCAAGGAATAAAAACCAAGAAAGTCCAGTTGCCTTTTGAAAAGCACCTTTGGGACAATCATGCCTGGGTCTACCTGAGGTTTCTTAAGTAGCTTCACCACTAATGGAGAGAAAATAATACAAGAAGGGGGCAATACCTTCTCCCCTATTAGAATATTTCATTCCTAAGGTCAGAATATTGCTAGTCCATAGTCTGGAAAAAACAGGGAGAAAAGAGGGAGTCAAGATTAAGACAAAGAGTCAGAAACAAAGGAGAGAAAATGGTTGGGCTGGGTCACCAGGATGAGCTGCTGTCTTTCTTCCTAGCCTGAACAAAAGAGTGGAAACACAAATGCTACTTGGATGTTGAAAGTCCCATTTCCACAGTTTACTCTCTATGTATTTATGCAATAAGTTAGTAGCTGTTGTGGTTCAACTATATACAGTTTCTGCTCTGAAGGAGTAAATAAATCTAGAACATGGGCTTTCTGTAGAGAACTATTCAGTTCGCCCTCAGGGTAAACCAGGGGGGTTTATCATAGAACATCTGGTTTCTTTTCCAAATATTCTCCTTTTCTCTTCCTTTCCAGTTTCATGCTTTCCTTCAAAACCCCCAGTTGTATAATCATTCCATTGATGGGGTATATTTTGATGAGAATGGAGACCTGGCTGTTGACTTGGACATTGTGAACTGGATGGTTTACGCCAACAAGTCTGTCACCAGAATGAAATCTGGGCATCTAGAAAGACAGGGAATCCAAACCAGTTCCAAACTGGTGATTTATGAGAACAATATTGCACAGGTGGAAAAGCTGAACAAGGTGAGGAAACCTCTTTATTTCACTCTTTCTGTAATTCTCACAATGGAGTAATAGTGGCTTTGAAGGACTCCCAATTGCACATCAGAAATGTTGCCTTTTTCTTAGCCCAGGTGTTAATGGCCTTGATGATATTTCCTCCACTGAGTTTGGACTAAGATCTTCTTCGCTCTATTCACTTCTAGCCTGCTTCTTGACTTCAGTGTGCTTAAATGTCACCTTAATGTCCTTTTCTTGAAGAAGTTGGTATTTAAACTAATCTCAAACCTATGTCTGTTCTCATCATTAGATGAGATGATAAACTGGCAAGTAGCCTGCAGCTTATTCATTTGGATGAGGTGGTCCATCCTTTCCTATTTTTTCTCAAAATGAGTTCATTTTCTGGATGCTCTTCCTTCCCTCCTCAGCCCCTGCCTCCTTCCAGGTGTGTGGAAAGTTGTCATCCCGGATTCAGGAAGGTGGCTCAGGAAGGGAAGCCCATCTGCTGCTATGACTGTATTCCTTGTGCAGAAGGAACCATCTCCACCCAGGAAGGTGGGAGACATCCGAGGGGACCTCAGATAGACAGATGTTTAAAAATATTAAAGATATCAGTGTAGGATGTAAATTGGTCCAAGTAAAGCTGCCTTTTGCAATTGACTGTTGGTGATTTTGTCAATGCCAATAATGTTTAAGTGATGTTCCAGACACTGATTACTATTGGTACTGCCTTTGCTTTCATTTGTTCCACTTCTATTTGCAGATCTTTGTATTTTATGATTTCTCCTATTTTCCTTTACTGCAACATCTGCTATCCAGACTTTTTTTTATCTTTCTTACCAACATTGTTAAGTCTGGTGTGTTATGTGGCAGATGGTTATCTGTTTGAATTCTAAACTCCTGGAGCACTTTATCTTCTTCATTTTCTGTTTCTTTCTCTATTTGTGGTTCCACCAGTTCTTGCTTGCAGGTAAATGTTATTTCTTGTAGAACTTCCAATTACCATTGTTGTTACTTTAGCAATGGCACTTAGACTTATATGCTGCTGCATTTTGCTTTATAAGCCCTCTCTAAGTGGTTTACAGAGACAGCCTATTGCCCCCAACAATCTGGGTCCTCATTTTACTGACCTCGGAAGAATGGAAAGCTGAGTCAACCTTGAGCTGGTGAGACTCGAACTGCCAAACTGCTAGCATTCAGCAGTCAGCAGAAGTAGCCTGCAGTACTTCATTCTAACCACTGCAGCACCACTTTCTCCTGCCATTGCTTCTAGTCAATCTGGGTCAACTTGCAGCAGCTAACTAGATGGTTCACCGTTTCTTCAGCTTCTTTGTAGAGGCACCATTTGCTGTCTATTTCTGCCTTCACAATTCTGGCTTTGAATGCATTTGTTTTTTAAAGGCTTGGTTTGTGCAACCAGAATTAGCCCCTTTGTCTCTTTCTTCAACTTTCCTGGCCTTAATCATTACTAGGTCTTGTTGTCTGCCTTGCCTCCTAGTGTGGGTATGTGCTGCCCATGTAATATTTTGCCTTGCCATGTCTCTTTTATATTCTTCATTTTTTCTTTCCTGTAGGCCAATTTGGTCTCTTGGGTATTTAGTAAGTCTCCATGGTGTACTAGCTTCAGCGCATCCTCTTCATTATCTTGCAGATAATCTTCCAAATGCCTTTTTTTCTTCTTCAACCATCTAATGTACTTGTAACATTCCATGCTCAGCTATGCTCCTTTGTATGTAGAGTCCATCAATATTGATTGATGGGCTCTTGCCTCCAGAAATTGTGAATGTTCCAACACTGGAAGTTTTTAAGAAGAGATTAATAATAATAATAATAATAATAATAATAATAATAATAATAATAATAATAATAATAATAATAATAATAATA